GGCGATTTTTATTTCTTTTAACGGAACGGCGTCAATTTTTGTCAAAAGAAAATTGCTCCGTCAAGAGCGATTTTGCCCTTTTGGTTAATTTTTTTTTTATGTGCCGTTTTTGTTTTTTGAAGGAAAAAAATGACCCTTTTGGCTTCGGACTCCCTTTTTGTTGATATTTTAATTTATTAGAGTAATAAGGTAACCATATTGTCAAACTACAAAGGATATAATGTTTTTAAAGAATTAAAAAAAATGTTAATAATAAAAAAGGAATTAAAAAATGTTAATAATAAAAAAGGAATAATGTGACATGGCATCCTATTAGGAGAGAGATAATGTTTTTTTTGTGTCAAGTATATTTTGAGAAAAAGAGGTAAAGTTGGGTGATATTGTGATCATAAAACAAACATAAGTGATATTCCTAGATAATTTCTCAAATATGGGTGACTGTCCAGGGAAATTGCCCAAAATCCAAATGAGCACAACATTTTCAGCTAGCGGTCCTCATTTTTATGCTAAGTCTTAGGAATGGGCATAATTAGGTACTTATATCAAGTACAACACAAAGTAAAAAGGGTTTCTCATGTAATTGTACAAGTGACAAAAACTTCAATAAAATGATTATATGTATAGGTAATGTATCATATTGTATAAATAGTATATAATTATGTATATATAATATATATATATATATATATATATATACACACACACATCCATACACGTTTGTGCAATAAGTAAATATACATATTTTTTTCAATCTTGGTCAACTCAAATCTCCTCTAAATAATCTCAAATTTTATTTCGATTCTTTTGACATATTATTCACCCGAAAAAAATCACGTTTGTGAAAGTCAAATAGAGGATAATCATCTCAAAATTTAATTAATACAAAACGAGCATAGAAGATTCTTGGAAATGTCAATGGAATGAAGAATTACCAATGTGAACATAAATATAACTTTGTAATTAGTGCAATTCATTCTCATTAAAAAGGATAATAATTAATATATTTTTAAAGGATGAAAAAATTCATTTATTTTCAACTATAATTTTTATTTTTTAACAATGCACTTATTAGACTAGAGGAAATATTATGGGTTCTATTTGTACAAAATAGGCTAAATACCATCTCAATCCCTCACCAGTAAGAGTGTTCGATCTAAAACGATTATTAAACAAAATCAAAATCAAATTATTTTAATTGACTTTTGAATTATTTAAATTAAATCGAATATGATATAGATTTATTGGTTTAGTTGTCAATTTTACTTCTCGATTATTAATCATACACACGAAAATAAAATTAAAAAATAAGATGAGGAATAGAAAGCCAATATAGTTAGTAAATGGACATATTCAACATCATCACTTTTTTTCTTCCAAGTCAAGTCTTTACTATAGTGAAGAAAATAAAATCAAAATAAAAAAAGCAAATAACTAGATCATGTCCCCAAATTGATTCTATTAAACCTCCCTCAAATTATAAATAGTGTTCTATGAAAATATATATAAGACACTTAAAATTATTCATACAAAAACCATATTATATATAATTGATTTGATTCAATTATTTCTTTTATTTTTTGAGTAAAATCAAATCAAATATTATCGATTTTAACAATGTAAAATCAAACGAAATCAAATCAAACTAAAATAAAATTAATTTATTTTATCAATTTAGATCGATTTTTACCAGAATCTTGAACATCGATAACCATCATCTTTGCTTCATGCATTTAGCATGTGACGACATAGTGAATGAGCTCATCCAATTACAACCATCCACTTCTAACCATACAATCTTTGATTCCCTAATCTACTCCAACCAATAACCCTATTTTCCTCTTCTTCTTTTTTCTCAAAACAAAAACAAAACCAAACTCCTTATCAAGAAGAAAAAGCAAAAACAAACTCCTTTTAGTAGAAAAACAAAGTTCATTCAGATCAAGCGGCGCAAAATTCTCCATTTCCATGGGTCCCACTTCAACACAATCTGAACCGTCCATTCCAAGTGTCCAAAGTTCTAGACTTCCACGTGTCTCATAACCTAGATAAGCAAATTGACGATTCTACCCTTCCTTCTCGTACTCATCCCCGTCTCTTCCAAACCGGCAAATTCATGTGATCAGTTTGGTTATTATATTATCTTCTCTCTCTCTTTTCTATCTATAAATTTTCTTTGGACACCAATTTCTCTGTTTTCTCTTTTGCGATTCAGATCTACAGATCTTTTATACTCTTTTATTGCTAGTTGATTTTTGCTGGAAGAGTTTTTCCTGTGGCCATTTTCTCTCGAAGGTTTGTTTTTTCTTGTTCTTTTAGAGCTTTGTGTTTAACTGAGATCTGAAAGATTTGATTTTTATGGGTTTGTTTTGTTTTTCTGTCGGATTTGGATTCTGGGTGTTCTCGATCTGATGTTAATTGTGTGTGGAAGTGATTTATTTGATTGAAAGTTGAGGTTTTTGTATGTGCGTCGGAATTGGATTAGTGAAGTTTATATCTGAATTTGGATTTGGATTTTAACTGAATTTAATTGGAATTATTGGTTTTTGTAGTTTTTGGGTTTGGTCTGATGAAGTCAATTTCTGATTTAGGGATCTTATATGATCTCAATTTTGTGAAATTAGGGTTTTCTTTAGTTGCTTACCCACTATGACAGGAATTGTATGCTAACTCACTCATTAACAAATCAATTTACCTTACTAGAGGATTATTAGACTTAGAAATGACTGTTCTGACTAGTAAGAGTCTTAAAAAGGCCTTAAGCAATACTTCATATTTGAGAACATGAATGTACAGGATTCAATTTCTATGTTGTGAAGGATATGTAATATGACTTTATTGGTGTTCTCACGGATGCTTGAGGACACTGATGATTTGTCTGTGTTGCTGTTGGGATTTTCAACTCTCTTAAAATTCCCTTCTGCTTTTGTTGGTAGATGGGTACCTTTGTTTTTTATGGTTTCTTTAATAAGCTGGATGAGTACTATGGATTATCCTTTACACAGAAGTTGGGTAATTTTGACAACCATCTAGTTTGCTTTGTGTGTGTGTGTGTATATATATACGTATATATATATATATTATATTGTGATCTAAGTATGTCTAGAAACTCTCTTGATTGTGTTTCCAAACTATTTGTTCAGATAATGTGTGGATTTTACATACTAAGTTTGATGTAAATTCTGCAGGGAGGAAGGCCATGTGAGTTGTTGCAAGCAGACAAGTATAGACATCATTTTGTTGGGTTTTCAGTGGGCTTAGTAGTTTGTTAGTTGTTGCCAGATGGGTAAATGCAAGGCTTGTGGCAAACTAGGAAGAATGGTGAGTGACGGGCCTATGAGTGCTTACCAGTCTTCTCTTCTTCAATCTCCTGTTGTTTCTGTCTGGGACTGTATTGTTCGTAAAATCCGGTATTCCCTTAGACCTGAGTTTGTGTAGGTGTAACGTTAGTAAAAGCTTTAGATTGAATAGCATAGTTTTTTTTTGCAATAGTATTAGTAACAGGGCACAAAAGAAAAGATAATAAATTAGTTATAAAGAGAATGAACTTGTCTTAGAAATATCCACAACAAAGGAAAATTCGGGTAGGTTCAAGTGTTACTGATTCATAATTAGTTGGCAAAATGGAATGTGCTAAGGTGGCACCTGCTGTTAGAAAAGGGAAGAAGAAGCAAGTTAAGGATGAGTTGGATCGAATTAAGCAAGCTGAGAAAAAGAAGAGGCGCTTAGAGAAAGCCTTGGCCACTTCAGCTGCCATCCGTTCTGAACTGGAAAAAAAGAAGCAGAAGAAGAAAGAAGAACAACAAAGGCTTGATGAACAGGGTGCCGCGATTGCTGAAGCAGTTGCACTTCAGGTTCTACTTGGCGAAGATACAGATGATTCATGTAAGCTACTCCTCAAGAAGGAAGAAGGATGGAACTCGTGGGATCTTAACAGCAGTTTTGACTTCTTCGTGGGCAGAGGAAGACCCATGCTTCCGCGCCAAGACTTTTCAACATATTCAGTTGAAGGAACAGACTGGGTTTCTGGTGCAAGCGGGTACAGATGCATGTCGAGTGAGTGGGGGAATTCCGAGTGGATGGTTTCATCTGAAACTTGGGTAAGGGATGATATTAACCATCACTACTTTGATGAAGGAAATTGGGAGGTTGCAAGAATTTCTCCTGGTTTTATTGCAGCACAGTCTTTATCATCTCTTCAGATAGCTGAAGATGCTCTCCAGTAGACTCTTATGTCTTCAATCAGGTGTTGAGGGAGTGAATTAATTGGGAGTCTTGGGGTTTGTAATCCAGTTGCTGGTGCTGAACTGCTATTTTTCTTTTTCCTTTATGGGTTTGAATAATCCTCTGTATATATTTGAAGGTGAAACTCACCACCTCGTTTGTGTTATGTTATGTAAGCTTTTGCTCTTGCTTGTGTTTTAAAAAACCTACTGCTGGTATTTATATTAAGTAAATGTACTGGTGATATTATTTATTTTCTTACTATTATGGTCTCGAAATCCTTGCTTGAAAATGTTGAAGTTAACTCAACAGGCTGCTCTGCTTATTTTTTCTTGATAAATGGGAAAAAATTTGATTGAGGAGAAGAAAACAAAGTATCTGAAAGTTAGAAACTGGAGGAGGACGAATGGGCTACTTTCTGTCATGAAAACGACACTACGCAGGATGTACTTAAATATCAAATTTTTGTGGCAGCCGATAACTTGATTTCTTTTTCAACTTTTGCTCAGAGAGAGACTAGACATGCCTGTTATGCAAATCCTCACACGTGGGTCTTTCGTTTTGTGGATGAAGGCTAGCGTCGAATACTTACCACTCTTCCATATTTCATCTGGACCAGAGGAAACAATTTAACCCAACATCACATCTGCCAAGTGGATGAAATTGAAGGAAGAAAAGTCGCCATAGAGAAATCACATATCTGCTATGTAAAAGACATTGAAAAAAAGAACAGCTAAGATACTAAGAAAATCGTTAGTTTTGTGCATGCAGTGTTCTCTAGCACTAATCAGCATAACACAAAAGACCAGAGCAATTTACATAATCCCATAACAAATTGCAATATTTAAGCAGCACCAGAAAAACAAAATGATTTACATATTCCACAACAAATCAGGAGCAATAGGCTTGGCATTTTCTTGACAATAACGGGAATCGGTGTGGGAAACGATATTCCTCATGTCTGACTACAACATGAACTATAACTTGGAACAGGACGGATGAGTGGAATTCTTTTAGTTTTCCTGCCGCTAGTTCTGCCTCAAAGGGGTCTCTGTTCCATGCTGCTGCTGCTGTCCTAGCACCTCTTCACTATCTGAACCAGATGGTTTCGCACCAGTGGTGATAAAGTTTTTAAACCAATTTGCTTGAAACCTAGGAGTTCCCCGACCAGAGTTGCCAGGAGAGTCGGGGGAAGCTGAATTGTTAGAAGCAACTCCTGCGAAGAACCTATATGCCACTTTACTAGCTGTAACGATCTCTGTTTTAGCTTGCCTCAGCTACAAAGAGATAAAGAAGTCAAGTTGAAGCAAAAGTTGTGCTAAGCTAGCAAGCAAAGTTAACAAGCAAACAAACTTACATCAAGGTGCTTATTAATCAAACAAACATAAATAATCTGTTAAGCTACTTAATTCATATTTTTAAAGACTTTGATCGAGTTAATAGTTGAATGTGGAAAATAAGTTGAAAATATATATCCAATCAAGATCTCAGTCATCGAATAGATTGATCTTACATAAAATTAACTATTTGAGAGAAATTTTCATTTCAGAAAAAGGGCCAAACAATTGGTACACATAAAGAGAAATAGAAGCAGAAGAGAACTTTGTTTCGCCTGACCAGCAGGCACGCGGCACTGGGAACTAGGGGATTAGTAACTACACATATTACATTAGAGATAAAGAAATGCACATCCAAAAGTAGAAGAATCTCACCCTAAAAGCAGTAGTTCCTGCTATCTCAACGGCAGCATCACCAGCATGAGCAAACCTGTTAACCCAGCCTGTTACAGAAGCTATAAGAATATGGTCTATGCTGGCGAGTTTCAGACAGAAGATTAAAAATCCAGAAAATTTACGCTGCACAATGTATATATGTTTGTTCAAGAGGTTGCTTGAATCAGAGCACTTGACTAGCACTCTAGCACTAGTGGCAGTTTTTGACCATTGTGTTTCCATTTGGCAGGTATCTATTTCTTGAGGTGACATATCCAAACAGTATAGCAATCAAAAATATAACTTGTCCCAATTACCAATCATATTGCAGTGAACATCTAACACCAATAAACTCCAACAATCAAGAAATGTTACAAAGATCCCATAAGAAACATGGGTAGTTAACCTCATGATTAAAGACGTTGCTTCAACCAGCATGCTTATAGCACTCAAATATCAGTGGACAGTTTGGTTTCATGCTTCTATCTTTCTGGAGGCAGTGTTTTGGATGGCGAAAGGCGACAAGGGTCTGCCTCGCCACAAGGCGAGGCGAGCGGAGAGGCACTTGCCTTCTGAAGAGGCACCAATTCATACCAAAAAATTAAAATATTTAATTGCATATATAAATAATCAAAATCTAAATAGCAATAACATATTAGCAAACATTTCAATTCAAAAACTGAAAATAGATAGTAGATACTAAAAGTCTAGAACTTGAATAAGTAGGCGTTTGGCCATGCGATATCATATCACGATATGGTATCGTGAGATGAAATCAGCGTTTGGACATGCGATTTTACGCTGATTTCATCTCATGATTCCATATCATGAGAGGTGATACCATATTCTCCAAAAACCATGATATAGAATCACCATGTGATTTCATATCATGATTTGAAATATTTTAATACAATAATTGATCCATGAGTTCATATTTTGTTAAAACAACCCCACATTTATATCTACTAACCATTTGTTTCATATGTAAATAAAATTTATAATCACATCATTACTTTTTAAAATTTATTATTCTCACAAATATAAAATTTATTATCACTTTAAATTTGGTGAATATAAATGATAAAGTAGAAATTCATTTGGTAAATATAAATGAGAACAAAGGGAGTAATACTTTTTTGATTTTTCATAATTAAAAAAAACGTCTTAATCTTATGACTACGCATAATATTGATAAAAGACAATTTTCATTGGCGCTGCCGCACTTTCTTAATCTTAGTATTTGCAAAATGTTCGTTCACATGACTGAAGGATATCAAGTCCAATTGATTGAGGACTTAGGAAAATTTGATTAATTAGTTATTAATATTTAGTCAAGTGGACTAGTTATAATTTTTTTGATTAAATTTTATTAGAAGTGTTTTTGACTCAAACTTGTGATAACTTTTTAAAATTTCATTATTCAATAATATTTAACTATTGATTTTTCTTGTAAATAGTTAGAAGTTAGTGATGTTTGTTAATTTTTATCTTAGTGCATTTAACTTCTAAGTTAATATTTACTCACTAATGTATGTTTTTTTTCTACTTTATAGGTTATTTGTAAGAGTAGTTGAGAGATATGAACATATCAAGTACAATTTATGTTCAATTTTTTTTACTTAAATTAAAGTTAGATGAATTAACTGAAGAACAAATAACTTTGTAATAATTTATTATGTGATTTTATAATTTTTGTTTATTTGATAAGATTGAATAAACAATTGGGGCAATTTTAATAGTTTTACAACTTATGGGATTTTTATGTTTATGAGAAAATATACAACACAAAAATTCCATATCGCATGTCCAAACAAACCTTCAATTCCATATCATGATACCATATCATGATTTCATATCATGATACCATATCGCATGGCCAAACGGGCCCTAAGAAAAAAAAGAAGTCAAAACAGAGGTAGAAGTAACTCTGACGTCTGAAGAAGAAGGAAAAAGAACCAGAGGAAGATATTTAGAAGAAGAAATCTGAAGAATAAAAGAAGAAGAAATTATTAGTAGAAGAAACGAAGAAATACGTATCGGTTTAGACTTTGGAGTTGCCGGAAAAGTCTGGCTGGTCACCAAAGAAATCTGGTCACTGGAGAAGTCTAGTCGAGACGACTGGTTGGAGTCGTTGTAACAGTCTAAGAGTGCCACTATGCAAATTTGGAAAGAAAACCTTAAAATTACCTTTTAACTTTTAAAACCCTAAATTGGTCGCCTTTTTTTTTTGTTGAAGAAATACAAAAGGTGACACCTTTCTCGCCATTGTTACCATGGTGTCGCCTTCTGAAGATGGATGTGCCACAGAACTAATAGGCGATGAAGAGGTGATCACCTTTCACAACACTGTCTGGAGGTGATATATTCAAACAGTATAACAATCGCAAAACGATCCACAAATCAACAATCAAATTGCGGTGTATACTTAGCACATGTATACTCCAAGAGACGAGTTCTATTACAAGTTTCCTGATTACAGATGGTTGTTACACTCATGTCCTTCAGGAGAACACTTAATGTGGCCATCTAACTTTTTAATGTAAGCCTAGATAACGTGGACACTTTAGGACTGCTCACTAGCAGATGAAGAGGCAACAAAAATTAAATACTCGGTCTGACTTCACTGCATGAAATACATTGCATGCATAATCATTTGTATTGTTAAGGCAAAATAATATCTCAATTTGTCTGGAGCTGTTACTCTAGTGCACATGATGGGAACCTCAATACAAGCAACAATCAGAACGCAAGGCAGGACTTCAGTAGACGCTTAAATCTAAGACCCCACCCTTCCACAAAATAACGCCCAAAAGCACCTACATTTGGAGAACCATATTTTACAGACTACTTCAGATTAAATAAAAGGTTCTTAGTAGCGTGAATTACACTACAAGCAAAATTTATCATGCCCTCAAAAAACTTCTTTTTGGCAAGCATGTGATTAAATACTTCTTTTGAAAACCGAGAAATTCCGAGGGACAGTGACGCACAGTTCAGAACTATTGAGGATAACGGGCCAGCCACTCTACCCTTCTCCACTTAAATATTAGGGTTTCAATAAGCAACAGGGTTCGAACCTGTGATATCATGAGCTTAACACTTCAATGCTGGAATAAAGAGTTGAAGAAAAACTGGAGAATCATTCGAGCATGTGTTTTTTGGATTATTTTAGAAGGGAGAGGAACCAGAGATGTTTTGAAGGGAAGGCATCATCAACACATGATTTTTTTTGAAAATGAGAAAAGAAATCATCAACACATGATTTAAAAGATAGAAGTTTATGTAATTTAGCATCATGGTGAAATTTAACTGATGTATATAATATGTGGAAAAAATGACGACATATATAGCAGCTCAGACAAATACCTAGCACGTCTTGAGTGCTTGGCAACTATGGTAATGAAATATTTGCTACCTTAACAGTGCACAGATTAGGGGTTCAACTTCAAAATTAAACTTTCTGAGGTTATTCATCCTAATCTATAACTATGGATCATAATAATATTCTTGGCAAATCTAAAGAGGGACTTTGTTATTGGTCCCATCATGTTTGTGCACCTTGTTTCTAAGCCTGAATGTCTATCAATCAATAATTTCATAGAAATCAAGACTAGTAAAGTTGGAACTAAACTTAGAAAGAAAGAAATAACATTCATAGAAAATGTTAACGAAGGTCGAGTTAAAGTTGGTTTTCATGAGCATTGGCAACCAAGAACTGTCTCCGGAGTAAACATCTCACCCCGTGAACAAACATCACCCAATTGAGAGAGATGAGATAGCAAATACGTAGTAATTTGAGCATTTCTCCAGACACTTAAAGTTGTGGACATACATTTGCGCCACATTCAAGTTCACAACTAAGAGTTTGTCTATGAAAATGGTTAAAGCACAAACGGAATTAACAAGCAAGGGAAGAACAGAGAGAGGGAGAAAAAGATTACCAGGAAGCTTTTGAACACCAAGTCTTTCACAAAATTCATCACAAAAGTGATTGCAATTCTTTGACAATAAATCATATGAGTGTCCAGGCCACTCTCTACTAAGCTCTCTCAATATCTCATTCACTTTGAAAATAGAGTGGTTTGTGTTTCCAAGTACAATGCATTCACGGTACGAATACATTGGATTTTTCCCAGCAGGATAGCTAAAAACTCCAGTACCTTGTTCACAGAACCCGAATGACCACTCATCATCTCCATAAACCTATGTCAAATTTACACCAAATCTAACATTTATTAACACAAGCTTAAAAGGATAAACAGAGAAAGCAGAGGTATATACAGTATAAGCATAGCAGCATTTTGACAAAACGAAGCTAGTTGATGAACAAACGACCAAAGTTCAGCTAAAAGTTAAAGAGCTACTGAAAACAGGAAGTGATGAGCTTAAATAGACACTGCACAAGATGGTACCATGCAACACTTCTGCAAATAGATACTGTCCAAGTATATCATCGCAGAATAACCAGTATATCTCATTTTATTTTTATAACCATGGTGTCCGAGGCAGAATTGCACACACATCGACTAATTCCACAAGTACCTGCTACCTCCCACCAACACAAGTATCATGTAACTTCACTCTAAAGCTTTGAAAGATGGGAAGAAATCATCTAGTGTAAGATATGAACCTGACACTCCATGATTCTCAACCCACTACATTGACCACTAGGTTACACTCTTGCTGTTTTTCTTTCTAACTTAACTTAATGGTTCCTACTTCTAAAGTTAGATAAACTAGATTCGATATCAAGTTCTCGAGAGCAACAATGTTACTAAGTTCATTTTGGGTAAACAACAAGGATCATAAAGCTTATTATTACATGTATGGCCCCAAATACGGAAGTGTCTGGTGGACAACATCTCATACAGTTCAGACATTACCGCCAACATTAATACCGTAACATTGCTGGACTGCACTGCATACTACCAAAGTGATCTGTTTCAGTTGGACTGCACTGCATACTACCAAAGTGATCTGTTTCAGTTGGACTGCACTGCATACTACCAAAGTGATCTGTTTCAGTTGGACTGCACTGCATAACTCATGCCTCACATAGGATAATCTCTCCAAAAAGAAATTCCAGCTTGTTAACCGATGCTATTTCTGCCACAAGCACACAAAAAGTGTCAACCACTTGCTACTGCACTGCCCAGCTGCCTCAGACCTCTGGAATATGTTTTGTTGCTTTTTTGGTCTTTCCTGGGTCATGCCTTTCTCTGATAGGGATGCCCTTGAAAGTTGGAGTTCACGGGAAGTTGGCAAAGCCATCAAGAGTATGTCGATGATGGACAGAGAGGAATAAAAGATGTTCTGATGGAATTTCAACTTCTAGAAATCTTTTGCGAGACAGATGTCTAGTTAGCCTTTTTGGTTGGTCCAAATAGAGCCCTGTAAATAATTTAGAACTATTCTTGGATTTTGTTAGCTCTATAGTTTAGAAAGAGGCTACAAATCCTTTTTTTGTGAGCTTAACTGATCTATCCTTGTAAAGCTTGCATCTTCTTGATGCCTTTAAATGAATCTACTTCATAAAAAAAAAAAAAATAGCTTGAAAAATTGGAGAAATTTGTTCCAATGCTCAAGCAGGAACTCTTTCTCTTCTAGTCAACACTGAAAAAGAACAAAAAATTGTACCAACCCTTTTTTTGTGAATAAAAATGCCGTTGCCAGAAAGGCAAAAAGATATTGCATCTTTGAGAAGACAATAGATATGATTAATTTTTTAGCTAACAGCAGAAATAATAGAAAGCTAAGATTTCCAAGAATATATATTTGCAGATGCTTGATGGTGAAAAGGAAACTATTGTGTTTGGATTACTAGCCTAGATTATCCGGCCCACCAAGGTTAGAACTGATGGACTCACACCATGTGTTATAGCTAGAATTAGAACCTAGGGATCTCCCGGCTATTACTCCCATGCCTCAACCGCTACGCCACCCTTGGAACTAAACAGCTTGCAAGTATTAACAGATTTCAAAGACAAAATTTGAGATAATAGCAAGTCATATGCACATCAAACTTGTTTTCAACTTCTACAGTAATTTTAGATGGTAACAAGTTGCAATGTTGACATCTACTATGAACTCAAAAACCTCAGGATTATCAAACGAAAGTTGTGTGTCAAAGGAGAAGCAAAAAAGAAAAGAAAGAAAAACAAACACAAGAAACTTGATGCCCACACGCCACAAGGCAATTGATTTTACTAGTTAAAGAGCATAAATCGAGTCAATTCACACATCCTCATAACCAGTAAGTTCAAGAGAAATATTAATTGACCAAAAACAGAAAAGGATATGTTTGAGAATATACCATGAACGCATTCAACCAGATCCCCCCTTATATGAAATATTCCCAGGCATAAAAAATATATGATTTAACGCACTAAAACAAAACAAATTTCAGTATCCAACAGCTTAAAACAGAAATTCAAAAATCCACTCCCACCGACACTAAACCCTAGATCCAATTATCCTACACAGAACACCAAATTTCCAAATTGAGAGGGGAAAATTACACAAAATCAAGCAGAGAAAAGGCAATTGAAATTCGTAAAGAAGAAGAAGTGAACCTGAACGGCACTATGAAAGATTCCACCAAGACCGATACCGTCTTTGAAAAACTTGTTGATCTGAACAATGGTGTTGTTGGTCTTATCGGAGCCACTATTCGTCACATCATATATGTGGAGGACCACCTCCGTCATCCTTCTTCAAATTTAAAACCCTAAAAAAGCCTCAACAATCTCCCCCAAATAATAATGAAAAAAATTTGAATTCAAATCAAACAATGAAAAAGCAACGTGGTTGTTGTTATCATAACAATCACCATGGACCGTTTGGTTTAGCGATACCCTTTTTCGTTTTCTCTCTCTTTTTTCTGCAGAGTTTGTCGACGAATTTCTTTTATCGATTGGATAAACTTTATGCTTTAATTTTTTTAAAATTATTTTTAGTATATAGTTCCTCCACACTGTTTTAGCTTGTTTTTATCGTTGTGGTTGTTTCCGACTGAGGCAAAAGGGACAAATTGAGGAAGTGGGATACACGCTACACGGATATGGCAGTGAAACGGGGGGTGGGTCCGGGCTGGGCCCGTTTGGATGAATTGTGGGGCCCATTAGTCAAAAAGAGATGGTCATTATTGAAGGACGAGGTGTATTTTTTCTTTTCGGTCTAGAGTTTGATATCCACATTAGAATTCGACTAAATTCAAATTTGCGTTAAAAAGTCTAACTAAATTCTGATTCGTGTCGAGAAGTCTCAGATTGAAAGGTAAAAACGTTTCCTAACAAAGTCGATTATGTACCCAAGAGACTTAAAGTGAAGGAGTACTTACTCTCCATCACAATTCTTATTGGTGGACGAGATGTACTCATTGTTCACACCGACAGCTTGGAATTATTTATTAATAAAAAAATGATAAAAGTTCTTCATTTAGCTGGCTAATTTTAGGCCAAAAAGTTTGGTCAGAAGTTCGTTTTTAATCCCCAACTTTTTTTGGTCTTTAATTCAAACCGAGTATATAGTTTAGATATGATTCAGTTGAAATTTAAAAGAAAATAATAATTTTTCGTCTCGTGAAGATATTTACATAGATATAGAGTTTAATTTTTGAAATTTATGAACTAAAATATATCATAAATATTTATATAACTATAAATTATTTTATTAATTGCATAATGAAAAGTTTACGTCTAATTGTTAGTATAAAATATAGAAAACTAATTACTTTTTGGGAATGACAAAAAAGATGAACTAATCATATACAAAAACATTTAAGAACGAAGATGAAAAAAGAGTGAAAGTTGCCCTTTTTTCAAATAATGTTATTATTACAAATTTAACAAATCTAGTACATGGCCAAGCGGCTACTTACTCCCTTCTTCTAAATAAAATATTGTTTTCATAATGTATGCGACTTATTTCTTTTTAGTTAGCCACTAAAAATATTAATTTAATCTTAATGTTTTTCATTTTAAAGAAGATTTTTTTAGTTTGCATTTAAAGAAGGAAGTCTAATTTTTTGGCAAGTGACGAAAAGCAAAGGGGGGAGAATATCAAACTTTACTTGGATTCATAGAGCAATTTTGGTAATAATATCTACCAAATTCAATTCAAGACATTTTTTTCCGCTTGGGGTGTGGTTGCTAGTTGCTACGAAGAAAGATTCATGAAAAAGGTTTTTCTATAAAATATTTTAATAAAAAATATGTATTTTTAAATATTTGATAGATAAATAAATATTACTTCAATAATATTTATATACAATCTAGTAAAATATTGTGGGAGTGAAACAAGACGAGGTTGATGGTTTGGGGTGGGGGAGTGTTGAGACTTGAATAGCTAGGGATGAGACAATAAACTTGGAATGATCACTTATCATACTTGTTTTTTCATATTTTCATTAAAAACACCATAAGTCATTTTTAAGCTCATTATCTACCATATTAAAGTGGAAAGGAGGTTTAGATTTAATATTCATCAAAAGTGGCGGTGGAATGATAAGATCTCAATACGAAGTCGTCTTTGATAGACAATATTTTACCCCCAAATTCAAACTTCTCGAGTGCATTTGAATTAATCGGGCTCCACAAAAATCCAATACCAAAAAATAAAAAATAAAAAATACTAATTCTTACAAAAATTTCAGAGGGACCCATCGAATGGGGGTTATTTGAATTTTAAAAAAATTAAGAAAGATGGAATGGCTGTATAATGCTATATGCTTAAACTAATTTATTCAAGTGTTGTTTGGTATTAGGTTGCAAATATTTTTCCATTAATCAACTCGATAAAGGCAAAATTCAGTATTGGCAACAAGTCTTTCCAGTCAGATTAATTGCAAGTAGTTGGCTGTTTTCACTAATAGCCACCACCATTACCTAATTCAAGAATATTATAGTTGCTAAAAATGTGCTAGATTTTTAGTAATAGAATAATCATCGAACTAAATTAAGTGCTAAAGTTGGTGGCAAATGTGTCAATATAATAAATTTAAATGTATCTTAAAAGAATGTTATGAAATGTCGTGTACCAGAATTTTTCCATGTGCATTATATGACTTTGTAACGACTTAGAATTCCTTTTTTTTTCTTTTATCTTTGAAGGATTCCATTAAAAATCTTTATAAAATAAAATAAAGAACATGACATGTGCATAATACGTTTTCGAGTTAATATCTCAAAGAGTCACTCAACTTTAAAAATTTATCTAGCAAAGTCACTAAATTTTATTTTGTATCAATAAAACCATTCGATCAAATTTATCATTAAAAAAATAAAATAATTTTAAAAAAAATATCTGATCACAATTAAAATAATAAATAAATGGTTTAAAATTACTAATTTATTATATATTATAAAATAAAATAATAATTTTTTTTTTTATCAATTTCATTTGGTAGATTAATATTGCTTCATTGCAATGACGGCTGTCAAACTTGCGTTGGTAGTTTAATCAATTTCGATAATTTATCAATTTCATTTGTTAACTGCTTCATTTGATAGTAACCACACTTGTTGTGGTGGTTTAATCAATTTAGTATTTGTGTGAATATCTTTTTACATTTTAAAAATAAAAATAAAAGTGAGGTTCCATGTATCATGACTCTAGTTTGGAGAATTTTAGGTTCAAAGTTTGATAAATTTATCTTTTATTTTGAATTTTTATTATTTTATAATGAAATAGTAATTTTGAGTCATGTGTTTAGCAGTTTAATCATGAACATAATATAAAAAATAAGAGTAATTTATTTGTGGTGTGAATTGTTTTTAACAAGAAAATGATTGAGTGATTTATTGATATAAAGGCCTAAGTTGAGTGATTTTTATTGATACAAAATAAAGTTTAGTGACTTTGCTAGATAAATTTCTAAAGTTGAGTGACCTTTTGAGATAGTAACTCTACGTTTTCTTATGACGTGTAACAGTAAAAAAAGAACACGTTTTCTTATGACGTGTAATAGTAAAAAAAGAACAAGAATCAAGATAAAATCCATAAAAATGTGTAAGAGATAATTATGATTGATTCTTTATTTATATCACTTAATAATAAAAATATAATTATAGAAGACAGTACAAAAATAAGTAATAAAAGAACAAGGATCAAGGTAAAATCCTAAAAATGTGTAACAAATAATTATGATTTATTCTTTATTTATATCAAAAACTAATACTCCCTCTGTCCCAATTTATATGACTCACTTTCATTTTTGGTCAGTCCCAAAAAGAATGACACATTTCCTTATTTGGTAAATATTTAATGACATTATCCCTATTTTACCCTTCTTGAATTGGACTATTTTGGATTTATATTAATGACTGATGTGACATTAACTTATGAGAGAGAGAAAAGTCATAAACTTTTCTATTCAAAGTCAGATATAGTATTTTTTTTATTTAACAAATTAGACTTATTAATAAAGGTATTTTCGGAACATTGTAGAGTCTTTCCATTTTTCTTAAAGTTTGTGCCAAATCAAAGTACAACATATAAAATGGGACGGAGGGAGTAATAAAAATATAATTATTAAAGACTAATTATTTAATAAAGTGAAATTAAATTGATTTATATATAAAAAGTGATTTGTTATAACCCGCAATTAAAATGTTATAAGCAATAATATTTTAAAAGTAAATTTAAAATCCGCAATAATGCCCCTTAAACATATATGGGGGGTGATTTTTCATATTTATTTAGTTATTTATGTTTTTACTTGAAATCAAACTTAATAAATATTATAAAGATAATTTTATTTGTGGATTTGATTAACAAGTAGCAACACTAACACCATGTAATATTATCTTGTCAATATTTATGATAATATTTTAAAATTATAATTTAGTTTAAAAAATTATAAAAAAAAAACATACTTTTAAGAAAATAGGGCTAGACCGGCAAGCCTGTAGCATAAGTGTGGGTTAGGCCGACCATTTTTAGACTCACACCAAAAATGGGCTAGCCCGGTCTGACCCCTCAAATTTCAAAGCATGTATGGGTTGGCCCGAATGGGGTAGGCTAGCCCATATTGACAACTTTACTTTTTATTAACATTCAAAAATTTCCTTCAATACACAGGGGAACAAAAAAAAAAAAAGTAAACAGAAAAACACAAATCACTCATTAGCAAGTATTGTATCATCTTTACAAAAAAGAACTAGAACTCCTTCAACTATCAAACTCTTTCATCTTTAAAAAAAATAAATTATTAGAATTCCTTCACCTATCAAACTCTTTCATCTTTACAAAAAACCTATTAGAACTCCTTCCTTCAGCTATCAAACTACTTTTCAACTTCACAAAAACAACCCAACCCACACATCAGACCACTCGACTTCCGTGTTTGTAACCCTACGAATGAGGCTTCACATCATCCGATTCATAATAGCTTACAAAAGGTTACTTGTTTTCGATTTTATTCATTTTTCTGCAACTCGAGTATAAATTGGTGTAAGAAGTCGTTGATCTCTTTTAGCATGTTGTCGTTCCAGTTCTCTGCCCCTTAAAAGAGTCTTAATCGAAAACTGTATGGCGGCTAATCATATACTCGTGATGGTGCAACTTATGTTGCTGTCATTGATTCTGCCCTTACTCAAAAGGACTATCAGTTTATCGCTCTGCTTGATTTGTTTGAAGCTCTCAATAATCCTATCCGGCTACTTAACTGGAATTTTATCACTAGTAGACCTTGAGAGGATATATGGCTGGAAATTTCATGCCAGACATCGAACGTAATTGATATTAATCTTGTAGGATTGAACTTATCGGATAATTTTAAAGATCAAATTTTTGACCTCCAGAATCAAGAACACCTGAAAAAGCTTGACTTGAGTTCAAACAACATTAACGGTCACTTACCGGATAGCTTGCCGCCTACGCTAGTAGATTTAAATTTGGCACAAAATAGCTTCACTGGAAGCCTTACTC